TACAAAATGGGTTGCCCTGGAAGACATTATGCTGAGTGAAATATCTAAATCACAAATGGACAAATACTGCATAGTGCCATTGTAAAATGGGACTGATATCGGGGTTTGGGGGAGACTGAGAAAGATGGGATAAATAATGTATACTGCATTGAAACAGATGAGGAAGACAACTGTTAAAAAGGCATATATGATTAGGTATTATTGTTATGACAGGACTCCAGAATGAAAGCTACATAGTTGAGTGGACTTGAGGGGAGAGATATTTATAACAATGAAAGAATTGTTCTTTTACTTTTCAGAGAGAAGTGGGAGCTTGGGGGTGCGGGGAGGTTGGGCAGGGAGAATAGTGCAACAATGAAGCAATGGAAATCTAAAGTTTCTGTAAACTTTCATTAAAATGAATAATAATTAAAAGATGGAGGGAACACACAGAATCATATACCAGAAGGAACTGATTGATGCTGAAAATTTTCAGGAAATATCATATGAATGGGAGTAAATGGCTAATGAAGGAAAGTTACATTGAAAGCATTGGCAAAAAATAAGGCCCTAGAAACTGATGGGATACCAATTGGCTTATTTCAATTAAGAGATGCAACCTTGGATTAGATGTGCTCATCAGTCTATGCTATGAAATTTTGAAGACAGATGTCTGCCTAACATATTAGAAGAGGTCCATATTTATTCCCATTCCCAAGAAAGGTGTTCCAACAGAACATGGAAAGTGTCAAACAATATCATTAATATCACATGAAAGCAAAATACTGCTGAGGTAATTAAAAAATGGCTACAACAGTACATAGAAAGGGAACTGCTAGAAGTTCAAGCAGAATTTAGAAGTGGCTATGGCACCAGGGATATAATTGCTGATGTCAGATCCTGTCTTAAAGCAAAGAATACTAGAAGACTGGTGCTTTATTGAATTTGTGCTTTATTGACTATGCAAAGGCATTTGACTGTGTAGATCAAAACAAGTTGTGGTTGACACTGAGAAGAATGGGAATCCCAGAGCACTTAACTGTGCTCATATGAAACCTGTACCTGACCAGGAGTCTATTGTGCGAATAGAGCAGGGGAACACTGCATGGTTTAAAATTAAGAAGGGAGTTCATCAGGGTTGTATTCTCTCCCCATACCTATTCAATCTGTATGCTGAGTAAATTATTGGAGAAGGTGGACTCTATGAAGAGGAATGTGGTATCAGGATTGGAAGGAGACTCATCAATAGCCTACGTTATGCAGATGGCACAACCTTGCTTGCTGAGAGTGAGGAGGACTTGAAGCACTTGTTTCAGAAGATCAAGGAATGCCACCTTCAGTTGGAGTGCATCTCAATTCCAAGAAAGCAAAGATTCTTACCACAGGACCAAAGGCAATATCACGATAGGAAAAATTGAACCTGTCAACAACTTCGTCTTACCTGGATCCACAATTAACACTCTGGATACCAGCAGTCAGGAAATAAAGAGATGGATTTCACTGGGAAAATCTGCAATTAGGGTCCCCTCCAAATTATCGAGGGAGTAATGATGTCAGTTTGAGGACTAAGGTACATCTGATACAGACCATGTCCTTTCCAATCATTTGCTATGTATTTGGGAGCTGGACAATGAATAAGGATGTCAGAAAAATAATTGATTCCTTTGAGCTGTGGTGTTGGAGAAGAGTGTTAAACATCGCATGGACGGCCAAGAGAACAAACAAATATGTCCTGGAGTGGGTGCAGCCAGAGTGCTCTTTGGAGGCAAGAATGAAGAAACTTCACCTTTCATACTTTGGGCATATCGCTGGTAGGGGCTATTCCCTGGAGAGAGAAATGATACTAAAAAGTATGGAGGGTCAACAAAGGAGCAGAAAACCCTCAACTAGGTTGATTGACATAGTGACTGCCACAATGGGCTCTAGTGTGTCAGGAAGTGTGAGGATGGCACAGGAGTAGAATAGGGTTCAGATCTTTTGCTCATAGAGTCGCTATAAGTCATATTGACTTAATAGCACCTAACAACAAAAACAACAACAACAAAGCAGTAAGATTGGTGTTGGTATCAGTAGAAAGAGATGCAGGAGTGTGGAACACATGTCCGACCTTATCGGAATTGGTTTTGTGTTGTTAATGTTGACAGAGAGAGCTCCGCTTTGTGAAGTTGGTAAAGGTCAAATACGACCGTCCCCACATGATCCTAGCTCATTTTACATAGATAGATATGATATAGTTATCCTCCATTTTTTTAATTTAATGTAGTCATCCTTCATTTTCACATAACACTCATTTTCACGTACAACCTTGTTTTTAGAAGCTAAGCTAACCACGCTGACAAGTGGGAAAAGGGTGTACATCTCACATATGCTTACAAAGTCTTTGTTTTTCCAGTGCAGACAGTTTTACATATACTTCCCAGTGAAAAATTCTTATAACACTGAGTAAACATATACTTAGTAATAGATGTTTGTCACTAAGGTAGATTGGTACTTTATCTCGGTTTCTCAAAGTAAGGAGATTTTTACACAGGAATAAAGTCCAACTAAGAATTCTCTTCTGTCTTAATGCGTGGGTTTTTTTTTAAGGGACACATTATACTTTTTGAATATTTATTTTCTCTCACTCTCAGCTCTACCTAAGTTTCAAGAATCTTTTATTCTTGAATTCTACACAAAATGGCATTTAACAGTCATTTAACAAAATGCGCTAAAAATAATTCAATTTAGTGTCGTTCCTACTGCTATTTTAAAGTAAAAACTAAACAAATATTAATTGACACCACTTTACTACACTTGGTTTTCTCTAGTCAGAGAGGAAATTTGCCTCAAAAAGAAAGATTGTGAGGTAAGGAAGACATACCAATACTAATTACCATCAAATCAACTGTGAGTCATAGTGACCCCCTATGTGCCAGAATTGAATTGCTCTCTACAGTGTTTTTAATGGGTTATTTTTCAGGAATGCATTACTAGGCTTTTTCTTCCAAGGCACCTCTGAGTAGACTAGAAGCTCCAACCATTTGTTCAGCAGATAAGCACATTAACTGGTTCCACCTCCCAGCGACTCCAAGGAAGATAGAGCTGCTGCCAAAATGTTGCAATTTATGCAAATGAAAGAAAATAAATATGCCCTACTGTTAATTCACTAAATAAAGGTGAGAGTGAAAAACAACAACAACACAGCTCAGTATGGTTAGTGCTTGGAAAGACAGTGATGATAAGAGAATTCCATCTTTATGTACTACATGCCTTCCTAGGCAATCACAGGTTGCATCAATTACCTGATTGGCCAATGCCCTTCCTTGGATCTGAACAGCACATTGGATTTTTCGAGTGAATTTGGAGGTGGTTTAACTGTCGGGGGCCTGCTGGTCTCTGCTGCTTGTTCTTTTGAGGTGTTTCTTCGGTGGTGAGCCATTAAGTTTATCTCAGCCAGCTCAGCATGAACCAAAGCTGAGACCCATTCTTTTTCTGGTTAAAAAGGGAGAAGAGGACTTCTTAATTGCCATGTTGCCTAGAAACAGGCTTAGTTCTCTTATCCAGTACTCCAATGTAAAAGACTAGTGATATTTGTTCTAAGTAGGCACACACAATAGCTAATTTTATGTGTCAACCTGGCCATGGTGCTCGAATGTTTGTTTGGTCAGACTCTAGCATTTCAAGTGTTACAAGTGATTAAATCAATTGGCCACAATGTGTGTGAGCCTCATTTAAGCAGTTCAAGGCTTTAAGAGCAAAAGGAAGTTTCTCTAAATTAGGTTCTGCCTCCAAACTAATAGTATATATTTTGCCAGAGTTGTCTTTTCAATCTTTGCTTTATTTTGGCACACAAATCTGCATGACAATCTTTCACCTCACCTATACATTTTGGATTTGCCAATTCCTAAAATTGTGTGAGCCAGCTCCTTAAACTTAATGAGTCTGTCAGTTTCTCTCCCCCCACTCCTTTCTCTCCCTCCCCCCTCCCCACGTGCATGTGCATATATGTACATTCTGGTGGGATAGTCAGTACAGTGCTGCAGTGCTAATCCAAATAAGTGTCTTGGGCAATTTGAAACTGTCAGCAACTCCTGGTGAGAGAAATGGATAGGCTTTGGGTTTGTCTTTTGTTTTGTTTTGAAGAGATGAGCAAAAGACATTTGAGGAGATGGACTGACACAGTGACTATCATAATAGGCTTGAACATGACACAGATGATGAACACGGTTCAGGATAGGGCAAGGCTCAGATCTATTGTTCACAGGATTGTTATGAGTCAATGGCACCTAGCAACAATAACAACATACATCTATCTATGTATCTTTGTATCTATCTATGTATCTATCTATCTGTCTATCTATCTATCATCTATCATCTAAAATTGACATACACATAATGCAAACACATACATATGTATAGCTCCCTCTTTCTCCGTGTCTCTCTATCTCTCTCTCACATGCAAACACATGCAAACAAACACTCTATATAAAGACCTCTGGTGGCTTAGCAGTTAGAAGCTACACTGAAATCCCAAAGGCACATAGTTTGAATCCACTAGCTGCTCCATAGGAGAAAAATGGGCAGTCTCCACCCATATAATTAACTGCCTCTTAAAACCTGCTATGCACCCAGAGGTATGTGGTTTGAATCCACCAGATGCTCTGCTGGAGAAGGAGGGGCAATCTCCTCCTGTACCAGTCAGATCCGATTTGACAGTACACACATAAAAAATAATAAAAAAAAATTTTAAAAAAACCAAAAACCTGCTAAAGGGTCAGTTATGGGTTGGTCCTAACTCAACAGTACACAACAAAAACAACAACTTGTGGCTTATGTACATGTATGCATATATATATTTTCTGGTGGAATAGTCTGTACAGTGTTACAGTACTAATCCAAACTAAGACAGGTTATAAGGAGTCATGCTTCCAAAGCTGGGTATAGGGTTTAAATCCACCAGGTGAGCACCGTGAGAGAAAGATGGGCAATCTCCTCCTGTGCTTTGGTGGCAAAGCCTGAAGGAAGATGCACTGCTGACACAAAGGTGGCCCGCCTCTGATGGTTTGAATGCACCAGAAGCTACATGGGACAAACATGACCAATCTTTTCCCTTGAGATTTACAGTCTCAGAAAATCCACTGTAGGGTCAGCTGTGAGTTGATTCCAAATCAATGGCATTGAGAAAGAGAAGAAATTTCATTCTTTCCTCTTCCCTTTCCCCCTTTGTTTGAGTCATTTGCCTTATTTTTTTTCCCTTTCAAGACAGTAAGCCTTTGTTACTAGTTTCATTATTTAAAAGTTACATTTTTTAAAAGAAAAAGGAAAAATAGCCAAAGACCTCATGTTTCCACACCATCCCCAAGTGCCTACCAAGTAGTTTTACATTGGGAAAGTACTTTCCAGAATACTCTCCACTTTAGAACATTATTAGAGTCCTCCCCACCCCCACCTCCAGACTAGCATTATCAAGCATCATCTGTGAACTTGTAAGAGATACAAATCCTCAAATCCCACTTCAGACCTCAGATGCCAATCTGAGGACCAACTAGTTTATGGTCAGTGACTCTAGCCACTATACCTGTCCCATTTGGGACTGACATGTATGTATTGTCACGGAACAAGCAAGGTCTGAGTGACTGATGATAAGTTGATGAGGTTTTGGTGGGTATTTGGAAAAGCTGTTTGGGTCTGGAACTTAGATAACTATGCTACTGTCACACAAGGAAGCAAAGAGACAAGCTCTGTGGGATAAGAGTTCACAGCAGGCCGGTGGATGTGCTCAGGGAGGGACCTGGGCATGTGACCTTTGTAGGTGAAGCACTAATAAGTTTGTGCTGAAAATAAAGCTCTCCCCAGACACAAGTTTCCTGTCACCCTTATGAATGCATTTTGGGGCATACTGAATTTGGGCTCATTGAATGATCTGCTTTCTGTAATTGAATATAAAATACTGCAATGCCTTGTTTGAACTCAGTAATTGTGCAACATTATATTTGCAAATCCAAGGTATAACACTGCAGTTATTTGCAGCTTCCCAATTTCTAACTTCACCATGGTATTTACAAATGCTTTCTCTAATCTCACCTTTTGAACTTGCATGAGTCAACCACTGTAGAATTTCTGCCAGAGAATCGGTATGTAGAATATCACAGAGCTTTGCTAGGATCTAATTTTAAAAAAAATTAATTACATCGTAAGCAAATAAATGGTTCAGAGTGTCCCGTTACCTTTTGCATCTCATCTTCCCAAATGTTACTCTGTACATGACGCTCAATTAAAAGTCAATTGGGATTTGGCTGGAGAGCCAGATTCCAGAGAGTTCACATTGGAATCTTAGCAAAGACACTATTTCCGGGAAAAGTTCAGGGTAAGCTATACAATGTGTTTATATTATTTATCTGTTCAGTTCCAAGATCTAACAGAAGCAAGGAATTGCCCTTCTTTTAGGAAATTCATCCTTTCTGCTAGGACTCTAGTGGGGAGCTTCCGGTCATACAACTGCTGACCGCGGCTCCTCTTCATTCAAAAGATAATGAGAAGGTTGTGGTGCACGGCTTCTGAGCTGGATTCATCTCAGTTCCGCGGACACAGTATTTGCCCCAGTGAGACCGGACTATAACTGATCCCTTTAATAAGTCAGAATCTTTCCCCGATTTTTTTTTTTAAATTGTGGTACTAAGGACTAAAATGTAGAGTGAAGAACTAAAGAGTGGGTGATAGAGGAGATAGAATTACAAAATATTCGACACAAATGAGCTATAATTACTATGAAATGGAAAGAGGAATATCCTTCAAGCACATGTAATGAAGTTTCTAGTTTGAGTGTAAACTGTTTCTGCTGTTGTAATTGTTTAATAATTGTTAGGTGCCATCAAGTGGTCTTGAGTCGGAGTGACCTTATATCCACCAGGACATGAAACTGCTCAGTCGTTCACCACCCCCACAAGCATTGTTGTATTTGAGTCTATTATTGGAGCCACTGTGCTAATCCATCTCAATGAGGGTTTCCCTATTTTTCACTGACTCTCCACTTTATCAACCATGAAGTCCTTCTACACAAGCAAGTCCCTCCTGACTAAATGTCCAAAATATGTGAGACAAATTCTCACCATTTTTACTTTTAAGTAGCCTTCTAGTTGTATTCTTTTGAGGCAGATTTGTTTATTCTTTTGGCAGTCCGTAGTACATTCGATATTCTTCATTACCACCACAATTCAAAAGCATTGCTTTTTCCTCAGGCTTTCTTATTCATTGTCTAGATTGAGCATGCATTTATAGGGGATCACTGGAAATGGTAATTGAAAATGGCTTGGGTCAGATATATTTTAATCCTCAAAAAGACATCCTCGCTCTTTAGCATGTAAAATCGTTTGTTTGCAGCAGATCTGCCGATATGTCCTTTGAATTCTTGACTGTTTCTTCTAAAGGCAAAATTAATCCATGACAACTTCGATCTTTTCTCCATTTATGATGTTATTTACTGATCTAGTTGTGAAACTTTTGCTTTATATCGAGGGACTTCATTGGCTGTCACCAGTAACTGCTTCATCAGTTTAAGCAAGCAAGTTGTATCATCTGGCTATTGCAGGTCCTTAGGTGCCATTGAGTTGACTATGGCTCTTAGCAACGCTGTGAACAACAGATTGGAATTTTTCTCTATCCTGCATCACCCTCATCACCTTCACCTTGTTCAATCCTATTGCTATAGCCACTGTCTCAATCCATCCTGAAAAGAGACTTTTCTTTCTCGGAATCATTACTTTACCCAGCATGGTGCCTTTTCTCAAGGACTGGAATTTTCTTTTCTTTTTTTTTTTAAAAAAGTGCGTTAAATACTTTAACCTCAAAGCACTCATTTCCTAATTTTAAACTGAACAGTGTCTCCTTGTTTTGTTCAAATAATTGCCTCTTGAACTATGTGCAGACTCTACAGTAGCACAATTAAGTATTCTGGAATTTTCATTTTGTGCAATGCTATCCATAATTTCTTATGCTCCACACACTTGAATAGTCATTAAAACACAAGTAAGCATCTCTCTGGGATTCTTTGGTTTAAGTCATTGTCCATCTAACATTAGCAATGATCTCTCAACCTACATCCTTTTCTGGATTTAGTTTAAATTTCTGGAGGTTTCCAGCCAATTTAAAAATCCAGATGAATTCTGTTTAAGAATCTGTTAATTTCTCTTTCATGTACCAGGAGTTCACTTTGATCTAAATTGTGACACTAGAGATAGCTTGGTTTTATTCCTTTTGAGAAATAATATACTCTTTCAAATAACTCTTCAACTAAAGCCTGGGATGTTGACTCTCTGCTTGTCTGGGGCAATATTTCTAAACCTATCCAGCTGCCTTAACTTTGTCTTCCCTGCAAGCACATTGTCCACCTACATCATCAGCTGTGTGAGTTATTTCTTCTCTGATGGTTTTTGAGTTTCCCAGAGACCTTCCATTGAATTACAGAACTCAAAGATACAGGTGGGAGTGGAGGAGGAACAATCGTTGTTGTAAATGACAGACTGGTGCAGCAGTTTGGACATTTGGGACAGTTTTAACCTCTAAACTTTGTAAAATAAGTTCTAATTACACATGGGTTTAATTCTGCCATTTTGCTATTTGTCTTTCTTTTTAGTCCCAATTTTCTGCTTCTTTCTGTAAATCTGCGTGTTCAGCTGATATCTTTCCTTGTAGCCTGAAGAATTTTAAGATTTTCTGTATGCTTTCAACTCTTAAGTCTCTCAAACTCTGTTTATCTGGACATCTATTTAATTCTCTCTTTTGGAACATTTATTTTTTGTTGTAATTTTTGCTGAGATAATCTTGGACTCACATATAAGAAATAGTAAAAGATCCCTTGAACACTTTGCTCAAGTTCCCCTAACCATAACATTTTGTGTTGTAGTCTGTACAGAGTTGGGCACTAACCCAAGGGTAGTATCTCTCTGGTGTTTCAAATCTAACATAAACTCCATGTGAGAAAAATAGGAAATCACTTTCAATAAGATTTATAGCCTCTGAAAACCTGCTGGAGGGTCAAGCGTGAGTCAGTTTTGACTTGACATCAATGAGATAGTGTAATATCACACAAACCATGATATTAATACTGATTTCCAAGTTTTATTTATATTCACTGCAGTTGCTTGTGTGTGTGTATTAAATTCTAGATAATTTTATCCTCTAAAGGGGTTCTGGCAGCATAGTGATAAGGAACTCTGCTGCAAATGTTAGGGCACGTAGTTTGAATGCCATTGTCCTGCCCAAGGAAGATGGACAGTCTCCTCCTGTGTGATTTGCTGCCTCTGAAAACCAGCTGGAGGGTCAGCTATGCATTGGTTCTGCCTGGATGGACAGTATATAAGAGTAGTAACATAGTTATACAACCACAGCCATTATCAAGATACTGAACAGCTAAAATCCCACAGGATTCTCTTTTCACAATCATACTTATTCCCCCCCCCACTTCTTCATAGCCAAAGGTTAAAATTCTAAACTGACTTTTTTCAGCCTTTTAGCACTTTAAGATACTAAACCGTTATTTTATGAGAATTCTGCTGTGATTTTTATCATTCCATGTTTAATTAATTACTCTCTTGCTCTACTTTTAATATGTTTCATACATAATTCTTTGGTTTTTGGCATTTAGAGTATGATATGCTCATATGTGAATTTTTGATGTGCTTATCCTGATTGTATTTTGTGTGGTTTTCTGAATCTGTGGACTGGTATTTTTCATAAATTTTGGAAAATATTTGGAAATGAGCTCTTCAAATATCTTTTCTGTTCCAATGTCTCTTTTCTTCTGAAAGTCTAATTGTAATGGTAATTACCAGATATATTCTCATAGATCGCTCAGGCTTATTTTATATTTTAAAAGTTTTTTGGGTTAGTTTTGGATTGCCATCTTTTCATATTGGGGGGGCTCATGTCCTGCTGTGATGCTGGAAACTATACCATGGCTATCTCAAATACCAACAGGATCACGCACAGTGGACAGATTTCAGGGGAGATTTCAGACTAGGATAGAGTAACAAGGGGGACTTGTAATAGACTTTGTCAGATCCTGTGCATGATGTTGTTGTTGTTGTTGTTAAGTGCTGTCAAGTCACTTGCAACTCATAGCGACCCTATGTACAACAGCCCTAAACTCTGTTCTGTCCTGTGCCAATCTCATTGTCTCCAACACACTCATCCCAATTACCCCAGTCTCCGAATCAATCCATCTTCTAGAGGGTCTTAGATAAACATAATTGAATATGAGGTGGAAGATGAGCCATTCAGGTCGGAAAGCACCTAAAATGCAACTGGGCAAGAGTTGTCTTCTCAAAATCAAGTCTGCCTTAATGATGGGAATGGAGAAAAACTTTCACTTTCTGAAGAGCCTTCATTTACTGATGCAGCAAAGCTCAAAATGAGAATAATGTTGTTAGGTGTTGTTGAGTCAAGTATCATTTATAGTGACCCTATAATATTA